CGTCACGTGTATTCAGCGTCCCACACTTCAAAATAATGGCAGGGGCATTTGAACTAAAGTTCATCCATCACCTGGACAAGGGAGAAGAGATTGATGTCGTATATCTTGACTTTAAAAAAGCCTTTGATCTGGTGTCCCATGATCTCCTCATCAAAAAATTGGCAAACTGCGGCCTCAGCTACATAACAATCCAATGGCTGGGGAATTGGCTCCGAGGTCGGACTCAGAGAATGGTAATAGACAGAAGTAAATCATCGTGGTGTGCTGTGACCAGTGGGGTCCCCCAAGGCTCCGTCCTTGGACCTATACTCTTTAACATCTTTATTAATGATGTAGACTTTGGTATCACAAGTGGACTGGCCAAGTTCGCCGATGACACCAAACTCTGGGGTAAAGCATCCACACCTGAGGATAGGCTGGTGATCCAAGCTGACCTTGATGGGCCCAGGAAATGGGCAGATGAAAACCTAAAGACGCTCAACACCAAAAAATGCAAGGTACTCCACCTTGGGGTAAAAAAACCTGCAGCATGCTCATAGGCTACACTTGCTAGCACCACGGCTGAAAGAGACTTGAGGATCACAATTGACCACAGGATGAATATGTGCCACCATGTGCTGTCACAGCTGGTAAAGCAAGCAAAACTCTGGCTTGCATCCACAGATGCTTCTCAAGCAAATCCTAGGATGTTATCTTCCCGCTGGACTCAGTCTTGGTGAGGCCACAGCTGCAGTACTGCATCCAATTCTGGGCTCCACAATTTAAAAAGGATGTGGAAAAGCTTGAGACAGTCCAGAGGAGAGCCATGTGTATGGTCAGAGGGTAGGAGACCCGACCCTATGATGAAAGGCTGAGAGCCATGGGACTTTTCAGCCTGGAAAAGTGCAGGCTCAGTGGGGACCAGATGGCGGCCTATAAGTACAACAGGGTGTGCATCAGGATCTGGGGGAATACCTGTTCATCAGAGTGCCCCAAGGAATGACAAGGTGAAAGGGTCACAAACTCCTCCAAGACTGTTTCAGGCTGGACATAAGGAAAAACTTCTTTATTGTCTGAGTCCCCAAGGCCTGGAACGGACTGCCTCCAGAAGTGGTGCATGCACCTACTCTGGACTCTTTTAAGAAACATTTGGATGTCTATCTTGCTGGGATCCTTTGACCCTAGCTGACTTCCTGCCCCTGGGGCAGGGGGCTGGATGCAATGATCTTCCAAGGTCCCTTCCAGCCCTAATGTCTATGAAATCCATGAAGCTTTAGCTCAAGTGCCCCTCTATCATCCTGAAGCATGGGGATGCTGACTAGATGTGACATGGAGGCTGCTGGAGTATGTTAATTAACACGCTCCATTAGACTTGATTAATTGAGTCTGCTTTGACGCATGCTAATTAGTATACATTGAAGCAGATGTCCAGCACATGTATAGGTGCTCCCAGTGTCTGCCTATGTAAAGTAAGCAATCATTTATACTAAAGCAGCCCTGTGCACCACAATGAGCTCTCCAAACTTGCATACTAATGCTCCACAAGTATTACCTGTTATTTGCTTTTTAGTCTCCACATCCCTGGTTTGTCTGAGTAAACGGAGCAGGACTGGAATCCCATTCCGGTCAGATACTTCCAGCTTGTTGTCATTATCCTCATACACCAAGTTCCTCAAGGCTCCACATGCTGCCCGCTGGATGTCCTCATTTTGCACATTCAGGATTTGTAGAAGCTTGGGAATACCGTGAAGAGAATAAACCTAAGAAAGGAACCCCAAGAGAACTGTTGCAAATGTTTGGGCATGGGGAAAAATACATTCTCAGTTACAGAATTAAAAAAAAATGTTCCATTTACTCAGGGCTAACAATTTGCTGAATTAGTTGAAGCTCTGAAGTTGCAACAAAGTAGATTTAGGTAGGAGGAGAAGCCAACTGGAATAGATTGTCTAGAGAGGTTGTACTATCTTACTGGAAGTCTCTAAAAGCAGGTTACACAAATGTTTGTCTGGGGTGATTCATAGAGGGATGATCTTAAGCTGAGTAGGGGGGTGGGCTATATGATGCCTCATGGTTCCTTCCAGCTCTGTTTTCTATGATTGAAGAGGCAAAGTCTTGACCAATGAGGAAAATGGGAACGTGCACACAGGTAGGTAGGTTAAATGTAAAAGCAAAACAATCTAGGTCAAAAGAATTCCAAAAACTTCCAGCAAAGGATGATAACATTAATAATAAAACTTACAAAAATACACCAAATGCAGAAAGGCAGCTAGAGAACTGGTGAGACTGCTGGATGACCGAAGTATAAAATATGCATTTAAGTATGAGAGGGCCATAGAGGAGGGAAGCTAAATGAATTATTGGCATTGGTTTTTACTGCAGAGAATGTTGGAGAGAGTCCCACACTGAAATGCTTCTTGCTACTGGACAGATCAGAAGAGTTGGATTATACTGAAGTAACAATAGAGGAAATTTTAGAATAAAATCAATAAATTAAACATTTATAAATCTTTGGATTAGATGGTATTCACCTGAGAGTTCTAAATTTCACATTTGTGTTACTTCAGAACTGCTGGCAACGGTATGAGTAATATCAGCAGTGGCTTCTGAGCCAGGGAACTGGGGGGGACGTGACTATATAATATCCATCATCCAAAAGGTGACCCCAGAAGTGATCCTCGGAACTACAGACCAGTGAGTCTCAATTCTATCCCTGGCAATTGGTAGAATCTATAACGAACAATAAAATCAGCACGTCATATAGAATTTCCCTTTACAAAAACCATGCTGACTCTTCCCCAGTATATCATATTTATCTGTCTCACCAATCTGTTGGAGTTCTTTAAGGGCGGTAACAAGCACATAGACAAGGGGGATCCAGCTGACATAATATATTTGAATTTCCAAAAAACTTTTGGCAAAGTCCTTCACCAAAGGGTCTTAAAAAAAAAAAAAAAATCAGTGAGCTGTTACTGCATTACAAGAAGGTTCTTTCATGGACTGAAAGCTGGTTTAAAGATAGGAAGCAAAAGGGAGGACTAAATGGTCATGTTTCTGTATTAAGGAAGGTCAAGACAGACAGTCCTCAGACTTACAATTGGTTCCTGAAAACCACGTCTTAAGTCAAAACTTTGTAACTCGGAACCAATTTTCCCATAGGAAACAATGTTATAAATGGGGGATTTGTTCCTAAACCCAGGCCCAATACCCTGTTTTCACCCCACATAACCCAGAATTTTGTACAGTACTCAGTCAGTTATATAAATGTAGCTATATTACTTGTCTATATGTATTTATTTATGTATTTATAGTGTAAATAGCAATCATATTTATTTGTAAGGACTTCTTTGAGGTGACTTTGCTGGACTTTTTGAAGGGTTCTTGGCTGGAGTCTTCTCAGGAGTCTTGGCTGCAGGTTTTCCTGGAGCCTTGTCTACTTTCTTAAAGAAAGTGCCCAAGGAAGTTTGGACAGATGCTCTCTTTTGCTTGTAAATTTCTCTGTAGCAGCTGTACATGCTGGATATGCCCCTATTCACTGATGCACTCCGTTCAATGTCAGGGTCATGTTCCTCAAACGGGGACAAAGCAGCTTCCAAATGTTGAAATGCCTCAGCCAACACTTTTGTTGTCAAGACTTTATGAGGAGGAGTCTCTTCAACAGTGGGTGCATCTTCTTCCTTTGCCACTTTTTGCTGTTCCAATTCAATGAGGTCCTCATTGGTTAATTTTTCAAAATGTGATGCCAGCAACTCATCAACATCTTCTGGTGCAACATCCAAGTTGAGTTATTTGTCCATTTCAACAACATTTTTGGTCACCTCTTCAACAGAGTCTGTAAAGCCTTGGAAGTCAGTCAAACTTAGGACACAATTTTCTCCAAACACCATTCAAATTTGATTGTTTGACTTCATTCCATGTCTCACTAATATTCTTAACTGCATGTTAAAGCCTTTCCAGAATTCGTTCAGAGTTGGTCCACCCTCCTTCTCAATTGCTCTGATGGCCTGGGCAAATGTGCACCTAAGATAGCAGGCCTTGAAGGATGCAATTACCCCCAGGTTCATGGGCTGCAACAATGAGGTGGTGTTGGGGGGCAGAAACACCACTTTGATGTCAGGATGCATGTCATCAGGGATGGCTGGATGACCAGGAGCATTACTGAGGATTAACAACGCTTTAAAAATGCAAGATTGTTTTTGCTACAATAATCA